TTTGTTATGTAACATTAATTGATGGTTAATGGCGAGGAAAATATTTTGTTTTGATTATTGTGGATGACTTTCCCATGATAGGGGTGAGAATAGGCTGGGCCAAATACACTTTGGCAAGCCTAAGTCTGACCTGCTAAAAATTTAAATGTTTGGCCTATAGCCTGTTATTGGCTTATTTTCAGGTTTGAGCATGACCTTTTCAGATGCCTGATTATCCTGTTAGCCTACATAAAAGCCTATTTCATTTGAAGTTATGTAAATTAGGAACTCAATTAATGTTTATATAGAAAAAATACTAAAAGTTCAATGGTGCCAAAAGTTTGTTTGTATTGAGTTATCTTATCTTACTTGGTAACATAAGTTTTGTGTGACTACTTACTTACAAAAATTTAAGAAAACAACCTATGAATTTGTTTAAAAGGAGTTTTCATCCTATTTTCATAAGTTTTTCAAGATATTTATGTCTTATTTTTTTTACCTTAATTCAAAGTAAAAAATATAATATAATAATTAAAAAAAGGGTTAATACCTATTTTCACCCCTGACATATGGGGTGTATTTGAAAAACCCCCCTGCCAAAAAAAAAGTTCCAATTGTTACCTTGACAAATTTTAAAAGTTTCAATTTTTACCTTGAGGATGCCACATCCCTAAAAAGGCTGATGTGGCTTATATTTTTGTTATATTTTTATTATTATTTAATGACATGGCTTGATTAGTTGTCATTTTTAATTAATTTTTAATTTTTAATTCCACATGGCATTTATATTAATATTTTATTAATTGAGTGTTAATTCAAAGTTAAAAAATTTTTGTCCATCAGCAGGATTCAAACCATGAACATTATATTTGCAATAAACGCTTCTTACCACTAGACCAATGCATTTTCTTTGTTACATATATGCATCAATAAATATTCATATCATTAACATATTAATTACAATTATCAATAAATTTTCTTAACTAGTTGATTTAAATAATTTTTAAAAAAAATGTTTTATACATATTTTATCTTTTTACTCTAACTTTTTTTAAATTTTAAATTTTCAAAAATCACTTAAATTAAAAAAAATCACTTAAATTTTCAAAAAACACTTAAATTTAAAAAAATCACTTAAATTTAAAAAAATCACTTAAATTTAAAAAAATCACTTAAATTTTCAAAAGTCACTTAAATTTTCAAAAATCACTTAAATTTTCAAAAATCACTTAAATTTTCAAAAATCACTTAAATTTTCAAAAATCACTTAAATTTTCAAAAATTACTTAAATTTTCAAAAATCACTTAAATTTTCAAAAATCACTTAAATTTAAAAAAATCACTTAAATTTTCAAAAATCACTTAAATTTTCAAAAATCACTTAAATTTTCAAAAATCACTTAAATTTTCAAAAGTCACTTAAATTTTCAAAAATCACTTAAATTTTCAAAAATCACTTAAATTTTCAAAAATCACTTAAATTTTCAAAAATCACTTAAATTTTCAAAAATCACTTAAATTTTAAAAAATCACTTAAATTTTCAAAAGTCACTTAAATTTTCAAAAATCACTTAAATTTTCAAAAGTCACTTAAATTTTCAAAAATCACTTAAATTTTCAAAAATCACTTAAATTTTCAAAAATCACTTAAATTTAAAAATTTAAGTGATTTTTGAAAATTTAAGTGACTTTTGAAAATTTAAGTGATTTTTGAAAATTTAAGTGACTTTTGAAAATTTAAGTGATTTTTTAAAATTTAAGTGATTTTTTTAAATTTAAGTGATTTTTTTAAATTTAAGTGTTTTTTGAAAATTTAAGTGATTTTTTTAAATTTAAGTGATTTTTGAAAATTTAAAATTTAAAAAAAGTTAGAGTAAAAAGATAAAATATGTATAAAACATTTTTTTTTAAAATTATTTAAATCAACTAGTTAAGAAAATTTATTGATAATTGTAATTAATATGTTAATGATATGAATATTTATTGATGCATATATGTAACAAAGAAAATGCATTGGTCTAGTGGTAAGAAGCGTTTATTGCAAATATAATGTCCATGGTTCGAATCCTGTTGAAGGACAAAAATTTTTTAAATTAATAAAATATTAATATAAATGCCATGTGGAATTAAAAATTAAAAATTAATTAAAAATGACAACTAATCAAGCCATGTCATTAAATAATAATAAAAATATAACAAAAATATAAGCCACATCAGCCTTTTTAGGGATGTGGCATCCTCAAGGTAAAAATTGAAACTTTTAAAATTTGTCAAGGTAACAATTGAAACTTTTTTTTTGGCAGGGGGGTTTTTCAAATACACCCCATATGTCAGGGGTGAAAATAGGTATTAACCCTTAAAAAAATTATTCATGTTTATTGAAGGAAATTTCTTATTCCATCTCATACTTTTCTTACACACCACACGAAATTACTTAAATGCACTTAAAAATAGAAAGTATATTTTCGGTGCGCACCAAAGTTCGATAAACTATACATTGGAACCAGAATTTAATTTTCGGTTTTGACCCGGAGAAGTATTTCTGGTTTTGTGCTACACAAAAACCAGAAAAACATCATTGAGTAACACCAATATGACAAACTCAAAATACAATCCATAACATGAACATAGGAAATACATTAAGGGTTTTAACATTAATCAAACATTACAAATAAACATCCACGTGGACATTGTAACATCATGATAATATCATCGATCGATCTTGAAATGGTCGCTTCTAGCTTGATCTGAACTTTCTCCTTAAAACTGGTAAAAGTATGCCACATAGCCCATAGATCATCGTCGTTCTTCAGCTCAATGTTGATGAACACAAGCTCCCCATTGTCAACAGATGGCGAGCGATACTCGATCTTCACAACTTTGTGATTGTCGCCATAAGGTACAAGTTCCTGCAATATTTCACGACCGTCTTCAATTGAGGTGTTCTTGGTGACCTTAAATTCGCGTGATGGTGTAACACCGATAAAGTGGACAACTCCAACATGCCATTTGATGTTCATTTTGATGTTCATTTCTAGTTTTTTGGTGTTGTGGTATGAAACAATATGACAAGCGATGTTATTTAAAGTAGTTGGAAGCAAACATGAACCATACAAATTCTATCCCTTAATCAGATTTGAAACCGGAAGTATAATACCGATACAGAACCAGAAGTATATCTCCAGTTTTGTTTTTACATTTTGAGGGGTGAAACCACATTTGACCTGTTTTTATAACATATATGGTGCGAATCAGAAATGCATTTCCGGTATTCGAGGGGAAATTTCGGAATTGTAAAGGGTCTTTCTTTTGGGCATGGAGTGGAATAAGAAATCCCCTTATTTAAATAGGTCGGCCTGATAGACTTAAAAGGCTTTTTGATGGCATAAGGCCTAGCCATTTTAGCTAAAAGGCTTATAAAAAAGCTTATGCCTTTTCTATTTAAAAAAAAGTCTGGCCTGATTTGAGCCTGTGTAGGCTAGGCTGTAGGCCCCTGTTAGTTGGTCTGGCCTATTCCTACCCATACCCATACCCCATGAGGAGGGATGTTGGTGTTGATGTTGAGATGATTATTTATGAGAAATTATATGACCTTGAGTTTTATGTTGACATGAAATATTATGATGAATTTAATAATATTTAAAAAGTTGTACATAATTATATGTTATGAATTATATTTATTTGTATGAGTTGTGAACTGTTGGTATAATTATATTCTAATGAATATAATTATATGTTGTTGATATTGAGACATGTAGTTCAGAGTGGGAACTACTATGATTGCCTTATATGTTGTTGTGTACGGTTCGAAGTGGAATTAATAGTGTTGTTGCATTTTTATGTCATACATCTTATGTTATGTTGAGAAGTGATGAGTCATTGGTTCATAAGAGGGGATCAATGATGAGTAAGTGATCAGTCATTGGTTCAGAAGAAGGGACCAATGATGAGTAAGTGACAAGTCGTTGATTTAGAAGTGGGGATCAGTGATGAGTTCGAAGAGGAACCACAATGAGTGGATGAATATCAGTAACATAACTATGATATCTATAAAATGGTATCACATGCATTTATTCGAGGGTGTCGGTCACATTGCATACATAAAAGCATCGTGAATTATTTAGTTGTTATGAATATGCTTGATGTGTTTGTTGATTTGTGTGAATATGCTACCCTTAATATGTTTTACACCGCTAATGTGATTGAGCATATTCTCACCCCTTTTTTGTTTCGATTGTGTGGTGTTATATATGTTGTGGTGCATATATCCAAGAGGAGAACTAGCTGATGTGAGTTGGAAGATGGAATTGAGTTTTTCTTCGTTTAATTATCGCTCTCTGTTGTTTTAGTTTCGGTTGTTCAAATTTGTAATTATGGGAACGAGGGGTTTGTTAATGTTTGAATTAATGTTTTGAATTATTTAATTTATTCAAGCACTTTATTTTTGAAGAGATAATATGAAGTATGTCTTATTGGTTGAGTTTCGCTGCATGTGTTGATTGTTTTGATTTAAAGAGTATGATATGACGCGTATATGTAAAACCTTTTGAAAAAATAATTGGTTAATCTTTTATAAATAAAAAATCGGGCTTTTAGAGTATTACATCATCCCTCCTTCAAATTAAACCCTCATTTAAGGAATCTTCCATCATAAAATGCTATAAAAAATTATTTAAAAAACAAATTCAAAACCCTCAATTTCTTTCCCCTCCAAACTCATAAATATGATCTTATTCCATTCATTTAAATTTCTAAATTTATCACTAAGCGCAAATGTAGAAAAAGATACTCCATATATTTATTCTATGATAAATAATATAGATGTTTTCCATGAAATTTGAATGAATTTTGAAATAAATATTACTTTGCTTCAAAACTAAATTTTTTTTATCGTGAAAGTTTACCGTGCTTTTGGAAATTACAACACATATCCAAACACTCTAGCATCCACCTACTGTTTATGTTTGCAATGTGATACCAATAGTTTTTCCGGGTACTTTTACATGTCATTGGAATGAGAATCACGTCATTCTCCTCCTTTTGACATCGGGTTTTTTCTCTTCCTCAATGTTGTCAATCACTTCCTTTTCCTCAATGTTGTCTACGTGTGTAATCCCGCTTGATGCATCTTGAAGTTCTAGTGCGTTTTTCACAAACATATACAATCTCCACAATGTGTAGTTTCTCTATATATCATAATGATACTAAAATTAATGAGTAGTTCAATAACATTTTCTAAAGAAAATAACATGACAAACCTGAGAGTCGAGATCAAGGGTCACGTCTTCCCTACTAACTTGGAAATTTGGATTATTCACATTAACTATCTCTAATGCCATGCAGAGGTTATCAGGAGACAATTCAGTGATATCTGCAGCAAGTAACGATTTCTCCAGAGATGACAGTTTCCTAAAGTATTGTCAACAACCAAACAATACAAAAGAAAATCAATAACAAATTCTCAGTTACGTGTTTAAGAGAGCAAAAACTAAATGCCAACTGGTTGCTATAAAACTCTAATCCATATTTCTTGCAGTAAGAGAATAATAGATCTGATGCAGTCATACAAATAAAACCATCAGGCCAATCACTGTTTCCACATACAAAGTCAAACTGTGGATCGTCTAATCTTGGCTAGACAATTCAGATCAGTGACAATGTTGTGAACTGTGATTGTGTGAATGGAAGAAATCTAAATTCGCCAAACTCTTATCATAAGGGAGATCTAGAAAAGGATAATTCCATTGTGCGATTAAACACTAAACTAACAGATGATGTGTAGCACTATTTTACATAAGTTCGACTTAGACCACAAAAAAGAATATCGGGTGACTCTTTCATAAACCTGCACTTTGCAATCATTAGTGATTTGAGATTCTTCAAAGCCATATCAGCCTTAGACAACTGGAACACCTGAAATTAAATATATAAATTAGTCATCTGAAGTACATCAGTTGATTATAAATCTTAAACACAACTCTGTAAAAAAACAATGAACCAACCTCGTCACTTAATTTCATATTCATGTTAGCATAAGTGGCTTCTTGAGCAATCTTTTTGTTCAAATTCTCATATGCTTCCTTTGATAATTCATCCTCCTGAAATAATCAAATATAAAAGGATAATGTAGCTACAGACAAAGCAAGTTTCATTCATCTGGAAAAAAAATCAAAATTACCAATTTAGAGAGTTTAGGCAAAAGATGCGACCATTTCTTCTCAAATTCATCCAGCAAAATCTCGGCCATCTGATGGACATCACGGGTTTCATCATTGTACGTCATTGCATTATTAAAAATCAACCTTACATCGGCATATATCTCCCTCACATTTTTATAACCAAAGCCATCTTTATCATTCATTTTTCTTTTTATTGTGCTAAAATCCATAGGCTGTTCAATGATCTAGGGAAAGAAAAACAATCAAATTGGTTTTGTAAGAAGAGTTAGCGAAGAGCTATAATAAAATGGATAAATAATAGCTCGAGAAGGCCACCGCTAGTACTAGTACTACAAGTGTCAGTGTCAATTTCGAACATTGACACTACCACAGACACACACATTTTTTCAGAGGTGTCGGTGCTACAGAGCCAGAAATACCTCATAATAATCATAGAGCTTAAGACCTTTAACATCTACAGGTTCCAAAAAGGGCCATGCCCATTCATGCCAAGTTATCTAATAAAAAGAAAATGAATTATGAAAATAAAGTTTTGTTCAAATTTTGCTGCATAGCAATGCTATAATGTCGCTATAGCTATTCTTTGACAGTACTTTGTAGTAGTAAATAGTGTTTCGTGCAAGAATAGTGGTTTGTTCAAATTCTGCTATGCTATAACATTGTTATTTAACATCACTTACCTCAGTTATAATTTTGGAAACATGACGCATGATTTCTTCGGAAGCATGTTGTAGTGGCTTCTTAGATCCAGTAGGAGGCTTCTTCCGGCCTTTGGTTTTGCAATCATTGTTTTGAACATCAGTTGATTGGTAAAATTGTTCAACCTCTGTTACTTGGCTCTCAAGCTACACAAATAACGATCAAAATTCGAACTCACAAACACAACAATGCATAGCATCAAGTTTATGCTTAACAAATTGATAAATAATATATTAACAAATAAAAATCAGAGAACTATCTAATATTTATTCTTGATATGGGAATCCCAATTTTACCTAGGGTTTATGGTGATCATAAACCTTTAAAGCCTTTAGAATAAATAAATTCAACATAGAATTGAGCAATATCATTTAGGGTTTTAAAAAACAATCCGCTACCACGAAAAAGATCGAGACAAATAATGATTAATTCATATAATCAATGCTGCAACACATCTAAGTTACGAAAGTCTTTAAGCGACCACAACTTATTTAAAACTCTAATAACATTCTAGTATATTTTGTTGGAAATCCACCAATACTCTATGATGAATTTCGACCACCACTGATGATTAGTTATGAGACAAACAAAGAAAAGACAATAGAGATATTTCTGCAGAGTTTCTCTCTGCCCATAAACTGTGGAAATTTTATTATTCACTTTGCAACTGCAAAATACTGTGAATGCCTTTATTACAAAATAGGGGTTACTCCCTCTATTTATAGATTTAGGTTAGCTTGCTCCCTAAGCTAAAACCCAAGCCCAAAATATCTTTTTACTAAATCAAATCTAATCGAATCTATTGTAGACTTAAATTCAAATCTATTTAAATCTAAAACAAAATCAAATCTAATTTTGACACATATGAATTACAATTTAACACACCACCTAATTCATTGTGTCTAAACTGTCTATGTTCATCATAGACCTTAGCTTTCTGAATACTTCGACTTGCACTCCCTTCGTCATGATGTCTGCAATCTGATTCTCAGTTCTGCAGTGTTCCAAATTCATCTTCCCATCTGCTACCTGCTCTCGAAGATAATGGAACCTCATTTCGATGTTCTTACTTCGACCATGTGCTATTGGGTTCTTTGCCAGATTAATAGCTGACATGTTGTCTATCTTCATGGTAATTGCTCCATGATCTTTCCCTGTTATCTCTTCGACCAAGTTCACCATCCAGGTTGCTTGACATGCACAAAGAGAAGCAGCTATGTATTCTGCTTCGCATGATGATAATGTCACTACTGGTTCCTTTCTTGAATTCCAAGCAATTGGTGCACCACCTAGCATAAACACATATCCTACTGTTGACTTTCGATCTTCATCATCACTACACCTACTCGAATCAGTGTATCCCACTAACTTGCATTCTTTTCCTTTATCAACTGCAGGAAACAAAATGCCATAATCGAAAGTTCCTTTGAGATACATTAATATCCTCTTCACTGCTGATGGATGTGATACCTTTGGATTCTGCATGAATCTACTTACCATACCTACACTGTATGTTAAGTCAGGCCTTGTATGACAAAGGTAACTCAATGATCCAATAAGTCTTCTGTATTGGGTTGGATCAACATCATCTTCATCTGCATCTTTCGACAGTTGCAGTCTTTGTTCTGTAGGTGTCGAAGTTGAGTTGCATTCTTCCATCTCAAACCTCTTGAGAATTTCTCCTGCATATCTTCTTTGATGCATCATCAAACCTCTACTTCTCTTGTAGAATTCGATACCAAGGAAATATGAAATCTCACCCAAATCAGACATTTTGAATTCCTTGCTGAGATCACCTTTGAAGTCTTTGATCTCACTCTTGCAGCTACCTGTTATCAACAAATCATCTACATAGAGACATAGTATAAGCAATTTACTCTTGCTTCTTCTTACATATACTCCATGTTCAGTTATGCACTTCACAAATTCCTTCTCCCTTATAAAACTATCAATTTTCTTATTCCAAGCCCTTGGAGCTTGTTTCAATCCATACAGGGCTTTATGTAGCCTGTACACCTTTATTTCTTCGTCATGTTTCACAAACCCAACTGGTTGTTTAACATAGACTTCTTCATCTAAGGGTCCATTTAGGAATTCACACTTCACGTCCATCTGACATATGTGCCAACTGTTGATTTCTACTAGACCAACAACCAGCCTGATTGTTTCGATCCTAGCAACAGGTGCAAAGACTTTGTCGAAGTCTATTCCTTCTTTCTGTAGAAATCCTTTCGCCACAAGTCTTGCTTTGTTTCGAGTTACTTCACCTTTCGAATTCGTATTCACTTTGTATACCCACTTGACATCAATTGCCTTCTTGCCTTGAGGCAATTCGACAAGTGACCAAGTGTTATTGTCTTCGATAGACTTTACTTCTTCGTTAATTTCTTTCACCCACTTCGAATCCTTTAATGCTTCAGCTGCATTAACATGTTCGACATCTGCATAGAAAGCATAATTTACCAGCTCACCTTCATCATCTATTACATCATCTGATGTAATCACACAATCTTGCAATCTTGCAGGCATGCGTCTTGTTCTCTGAGGCCTGCTTGTACTTGGTATATCTGTTGGTTCCTTTTGTCGAACTTCTCTTTCGACTTGAGTTTCTGGCTCTTCGAATAAGATTCCCACTGAATCTTTCTTGACATTTGCAGTCCAATCCCATTCTTTAAACTCATCTATGATCACGTCCCTGCTGATCACAATCTTCTTGTTCTCTGGATCGAACAACTTGTAGCCTCCTGTCGAATGATATCCAACTAGGATCATTTGACTTGACTTGTCATCAAGTTTTCTTCTCAACTGATCTGGCACATGTCTATGTGCAATAGATCCAAATACCTTCAGATGACTTAAGCTAGGCTTCACACCAGACCAACATTCTTCTGGAGTAATTCCTTCTAGCTTCTTTGTAGGACATCTATTTAAAATATAAGTTGCAGTCGAAACAGCTTCACCCCATAACTCTTTAGGTAAATTCTTTCCTTTCAACATACTTCTCACCATATTCATGATGGTTCGATTTTTCCTTTATGCAATTCCATTTTGCTGTGGAGTATAGGGTGGCACCACCTCATGCACAATCCCTTCCTTTTCACATAATCTGTCGAAGTCTTTCGACACATATTCTCCACCACCATCAGTTCTCAAAACTTTGATCTTTCGACCACTTTGTCTTTCGACCATGGACTTAAACTTGGTAAATACTTCGATCACTTCAATTTTCTTGTTGATCAGGTAAGTCCTTTGCTTTCGACTAAAATCATCTATGAATGTAACAAAGTATTTGTTACCTCCCATCGAATCCACCTGGATTGGTCCACATACATCAGAGTATATGACTTCGAGACTAGCCTTCGATCTGCTTCCTGCATCCTTGCTGAAGCTATTCTTGTGTTGCTTCGCCTGCACACATTCTTCACATACTTCGTTTGGAATGTCAATTTCAGGCAATCCTGAAACCATATTTCTTCTCTTCAAGTCTCTGATGTCTCTGAAGTTGAGATGACCTAGTCTATAATGCCATATCCATTCATCTCTTCTAGCTGCAGTTGAAAGACACTTGTGCTCCATCACATTTAGTTCAATCTTGAAGGTTCGATTCTGAGACATAGGAGCCTTCAAGATTAATCTCCCATTTGCATCAACACTCTCATCAACTTATCTTCGATTGACACTTTATAATTCTTTTCGACCAACTGCCCTATACTGAGCAAATTGCTCTTCATGCCTGGTATGTAAAATACATTTGAAATTACTGATTTCTTGCCATCTTTCCTCATGATCATAACATCACCAATACCTTCAGCTGCTAGGGTATTGTCATTTGCAAATTTTACCATATTTTTCGTTGAGGGTTTTATATTGACGAACCAGTCTTTCCTTCCAGACATATGTGATGAACATCCTGAATCCAAGTACCATTGGTCCTTGAATCTATCTTCATCTCTTGTTGTAACCATCAGCATCATCTCTTCTTCTTCTTCATGTTTTGCAAGCTTTGCATCACTTTCTTGATTCTTTCGTTTTTCTGGACAATCACTCGAATAGTGACCATACTTCTGACAATTGTAACATTGAATGTGACTCTTATCAGGTTTTCGACCACCACCTCTTCCTCTGTTTGCAGCACCACCTCTTTGGTTGCCTTGGTGTGGTCTTCTTTGATTCGACACATCTCCTTCGATTTGGTTTCCTCTACCATTCGATTTGTTGTAGCCACCTCTACTTTTGTCGAAATACTTTCCTTTTCCTTTGGTCTCTTTTACTGAATGTGCCTGTAAGGCCACATCACTCTTCGATTTTCCTGCAGCTCTTTTGTTCATTCTTTGTTCATGAGATTCGAGCGTCCCTTGAAGCTCTTCCTTTGTCAATTTCGACAATTCTTTCCCCTCTTCGATCGCCACCACTATGTGGTCTAACTTAGGAGCTAAAGATCTCAAGATCTTCGAAACAACAGCTCTTGTTGTTAATGTTTCTCCACGTGCCTTGATTTGATTCACTAGTTTTGTAACTCTAGTGAAGAAATCAGATATGTTTTCACTGTCTTCCATCTGAAGCAGTTCATAGGTTCTTTTGTGAGTTTGTAACCTCACTTCTTTCACCTTCTCAGCGCCTCCAAAAGACTTCTCAAGGATCTCCCAAGCTTCTTTTGCAGATTCTGAATCACTAATCTTTTCGAAATTGTCTGGGCTGACACATTGATGAATTATAAATAATGCTTTATAACTCTGCTTCTCAGATTCTGTATATTTCTTCTTTTCTTCTTCTGAAGCCTTTTCGCCAAGCGCTTCGACTCCATCTTTTTTACAAGGTCCCAAAGGCCTTGACACCTTAATAGGACTTTCATCTGTTTGCACCAATTCTCATAGTTGTCAACTTTCAGAATTGGCAGCGTTGTTGGATAGTTTGCATTCCCATAACTTGTCATCGTGAATTCTTCAATCGTTCTTGATTTACACTTCCCTTGAATCGAAACACAAGATCTTGATACCAGATGTTGGAAATCCACCAATACTCTATGATGAATTTCGACCACCACTAATGATTAGTTATGAGACAAACAAAGAAAAGACAATAGAGATATTCCTGCAGAGTTTCTCTCTGCCCACAAACTGTGGAAATTTTATTATTCACTTTGCAACTGCAAAATACTGTGAATGACTTTATTACAAAATAGGGGTTACTCCCTCTATTTATAGATTTAGGTTAGCTTGCTCCCTAAGCTAAAACCCAAGCCCAAAATATATTTTTACTAAATCAAATCTAATCAAATATATTCTAGACTTAAATCCAAATCTATTTAAATCTAAAACAAAATCAAATCTAATTTTGACACATATGAATTACAATTTAACATGTTTTGTATAATATTTCTATTTCAATATTCAATCAATCATGCCCTAAAAGACAAAAAACCTGATTAATTTGAGTGTGGAGTTGATCGACAAAATATCCATAACGGTTTAAATCTTGATTAGAAATATCGTGATTAGATGGAGGTTCATGAGTATAGTGCACCATTGGTTTAGTAAATGGTAATGCTTAATTTTGATTTATGAAATTGAAACCAATTAGCAGAAGTTTACACTCTAAAAGTACCAATGTTTTTTAAAACGTGGCTTAGGGGAATCCAAAATCGGTCCAGCTACAAAATCAGTCAAAGGGTTAAAGCCATATTTATGCACCTTTTAATTTAAGATTGATATTATTAATGATATATAAACTACAGGTAAAATAATAGATTTAATTAATTAAATACCTTTTGGTACTTATAAAATCATCAAATTTTATTTTTGATTTCTATAAAAAAATGTTATGTTTTATTGTCTAAAATTATTATGCACATATTTTTAGTTTTATTATTAAATTAATATATATTTTTAAATGATTATTTTGCAGTTTAAAATGTTATAAAAAGTTTTTTGAATTTTTTTTTAAATTTTGATTTTTAAATCGAGATTTTCATTGTTTTTATCATTATTTTTTGAAATTTTAAAAATTCATATTTAATTCTTTTCATTTTAAAAATTTATAAATTTTGATAAAAAAATAATATAATATTTTAAACATGTATGATAAAAAAAAATTTAAAATTTTAAAAATTCAAGAATAATTAAACAATTTTAAAAATTTTAAAAAATAATTGAAACTAAAACTGCATGTATAAAAACTAAAAATAAAATTTGAGATATTTATAGAAACTAAAAATATATTTAATTCTTTATTTTTTTAATAAAAATAATATATTAAAAAATAAATAAAAGATATACAATTGAGGAAGGATACCAAAAACCCATTCAAAAAAAATCTAAAAGTTAGGAAATCCATAAATAACCATCGCTACAATTTTGGTCAAAGTTGTGAGGTCAGATTTTCTACACCTTTTAATTATTTATTGATTTTCTCCTCTTCTTAATGCTACTAAATATTTAATTTAATATTTATGCCATTAATGATACATAAACTACATGAATGGTAAATAAATTGATTAATTGATATGCTATAGTAATGAAAAGATATGGTGTAATTTTTAATTTTTGTTGATTTTATTATTATTTTTAATAAAGATAATATATTGTGAAAGAAAAAGAAGATACATGAAAAAGTGAGACTATATCAAAATTCATTCAAAATAAAAAATCGCTACAGTTATAATTTCGATCAAAATCAAATATCTATACTTTTTTATTTTTTATAGCTTAAATATATTTTTTTGTCCCCTACTTTAATGTTTTTTAATTTTTAATCTTTCATTTTAAAAATCAATTTACATAAGTTGAGATTTAGATAATCTCCTTTCAAATTTGCATAAGTGGCATTGATTATTAGAATAAAAAAATTAATTTTAATGACTTGATAATAATGACTACGATAATTAAAATTGATTCTAGTTGGTGAATTTGTTTTAAAAGTATTTAGAGAAAGATTTTTTTAAGTAAGTTTTGTCCCTATACACTCAGAAGAGCGATTTCTGGCGAATTCTTTGAATTATATGGCTGCCCCGGTGGTCATAATTACTCAGGTCCATCCAGGTAAAAATGTGGATGAAGTGGATCTGCAAGAAAGAAGCACAAAGAAGATCAAAGATAATACGGTAGGTGCAATTTCGGCTCCTAACAAAGTAGTGTTTTCCTATAAGGTGATTGTCACGGGGCGAAGTGTTGAAGTGATGGATGTTAAGTCAACTGATGAGGAGGAGGAAGAGGAGGAAATATGCTTGCAGATGTGACTAATGGGATTCAGATCGTGGAGGAGAAAGTAAGGGGTATGAATGTCATGTGTTTGTTTTGTTAGAGGCAGAAGAGAAGAGAATACAACGACCTTGAAAAAGATGGGTCATCGGGAAACTATTGGGAAGAAGAATTTGATACAAAGCTCTTGAGAATAGATTGACTTAGATGTGGGTAAGGAAAAAAGTTATTCGTATAATAGATCTAAGTAATGACTATTATTTAGTAGTCTTTACCCATGAAGATGATAAGCAGGATGCCCTAGCCAATGATCCATGGTTCATCTATAACCATTATGTCAGTGAAAGATTGGATTCTGAAATTTCAGTCGGAAAGTGATACTATTGATGAAGTTGTTGTCTGGGTGCGCATTTCAGGTTTGCCTATTGAGTACTATAATGCGAGAGTGTTAATTGTAGTAGGAAATTAGATTGGTCATGCGATCAAAGTTGTCAAGAATACGGTGCAACAGGAATGAGGGGAGTATGCCAAAGTTTGTGTTGCGGTTAACTTAACCAAACTTCTTCTGGCCATGATAAACATTAATGGTCTAAACTATAAGGTAGAATATGAAGGTTTGCACCTTCTCTGCCTTGGTTGTGGGAGATATGGGCATTACAAAGAGATAATTTCTTTCTCCACCTCTATGTATTCTTGGAGGCCCCTGGCGAAAAACCCAAAATACCCCAGACTTCGGATGTGCATCTCCGAACGAACCCTTATTCCACAAAAATTTATGAAAAATGGTATTTTCGGATATGAATCTTCGAATAAACTTTTTTTTTACGAAAAGAGTGGTTTCAGATATGCACTTTTTAATTTCACTCTATTATAAAAATTAAAAATACAACTAAAAATCAAATAAAATTAAGTGTCTACAATTTTTTTCGATTTTTTTCGAAAATATGAAAACAGAAAATAAATCAAATAAAATAGAAAAACAAGGAATTATGGTTTTTAGGGCGAGGTGAAACAACCGACGAAACAAATCCTCGAGATAAAATCAACAAAGTCACCATCGAACGTTTTTATCCCACAAAAAGGGAAAGGTAAACATTGAGTAAACTTGAGAAGGTTGAAATTACGATCATACGACCGAGAGATACACGTAAGGGGTAAATCGGAGATCGAATTATTGATTAATTCGTCTCACAAAAGCAAGAGTCGCCACCGCGCTTTATTGTTTCCAAAGGGAAAGGGAAAAGAGCGAAATAAAACCCTAAATATGCAATGTAAAAAATACAAAGCGTTTTTTGAAAAGAGATCTTATGGTTCGGGGGTTGGTTATACAATGGGAAGGTACTAGCACCCAATGCATCTATAGTACTCTATAGGAACCTTTTGAAATATCTGTTTATTTAAAAATTGATCGCTTGATTGAAAATAAATCGTTTTGGCCGAAAAAGTATACGGACGGGTTTTTGAAGATACGACGACCTAATGTCGAAGTTTTTTTGCTTAAAGGGCATAAATTTTGAAAAGGGTGAATATTTGAGGAAAAATTACCCTAAAGCTTTTAATGAATGAGAGTATTCGCTCGATCGTTTTTGAGGACATGAAGTCAACAAAAATTAGACAATTCCCTTTGGATTGGCGCAAACAGAATAATCAAGTAAGTGCGAGATATTTAAACAGAAAATTATGAGATAAATGATATACAACAAATTAAATAAGAGACTGAGTGTGTGAACATGCATTTTTTAGATTTTTGTGTTTAATATATGAAGAGAAAAATGTTTTAATTTGTTACGCATTTTAACATAGATAAAAGGTAATGAGAATTAATAGAAATGTTTTTTTAAGGTTTTTATATGTTTCTATTTTTTATGTCTTTTTTATATTGGTATTTAGCCAAAATGAGGGGAGTAAATTAAAGAAAAATAGCATGCTTTTTAGTTTTCATTTTTTTTTACTTTCATATGTTTTTTAGAGATATTAAATATTTCCAAACTAAATAAAACTTACAAGTCATGAAATTAAATCTAATTAGAAATAAGGAAGACTAAAATTATTAAATAAAACCTAAACTTAAACTAAATAAGGTTTGGGTAAAATATTAAAAATATCTATTTAAAACTATATGTTTATTTCTAGGAAACTAATTAATTTAAATTAAATAAATTAGCTAAGAGAAAAAAAGAAAAGAATAGAATTAAACTAAAAGCAAGTAAAAGGATGGGGTGGGGCGCAGGAACAGAACGCATGGGCTTGGAGAAAATGGGGTGAGGCCCATCAGTTAACAAAGCATTAGGGTTAATCTTATGTTATCAAATTGGGATTTAGGGTTAGTCTTGGGCAGAAACGGCGCGTGCTTGTACTTTTCGTTCAACGTTCTCTTCTGATCATAGCTCCTCCGTCCAGCCACCGGCGTCGCTCTCCCTTTATCTCTCTTCCCTCCGTGGCACGGGCTCAGTGTTCTCTTGATACAAGGTTCGGTTTCAATGCTTATGTTTCCTTTTTTACGAATTGCATGCGTTTTCGATTTGAATCTTAAGTTTAATCTTTCATTATGAGGTGAAGGAGAAGAAAAGAGGGAGAAGATTGTACTACCTGACCTTGGAGAAGGAGGAGAGGCGGGAGATGTGGCGCTCAGGAGGCAGGGACGGTGTGAGGAACGTGACGCTTGCTCTTTGAGCTTTCATGGTATCTTTTATCTTGCTCCTTAGGGTTTTGATGATGGTTTTGAACTGAAAAACCTTTCTCTTCTTTCTTCTTCTCTTCTGTCCCTTTGAATGATTTGACTATGATTGCCTGGAATGTTTGTTGTTGGCCCTCTGAGATAGATATGCTTTGTGGAAAATGCTTGCTTGCTTTTGAATATTTTATTGCCCAATGATGTGTACACTGAGGGCCTGATGGGTTTGCCTTGATATTACCTCTGAATGACTTGCCTATGAATGGTTGAGGTGAACGCTTGAATGCTGCTTTCTTTTTTGAATATTTCCTCTCTTCTTCTCCCTGTTGCCTTGAATAGGTTTCTTGTTTGATTACCTTCTTCTGAGTTGCCTAGAGCTTATGCTTTTGCACGATTGTTCATGGCCTATGATGAAGAATTTCTGAGGGTTGAGTTTGCTTCAGGTTATGAGTTCATCAGGTTTTAAGGCTTGGATAATGCAGGTTTTGGTCTTTTTGAGTTTGTATGTTTATGTGGTATGACAGTATGGGGTTATGCTTCAGGTTTGAACTTGGTTTTTGGTTTGGATGTTGTATGTACAGGTTAAAGGCTTTGGGATGTGTTTGATGGTTTTGAGTTATACTGGCTTTTGACAGGTTTATATGGAATGCTTAGCA